CTTGGAGAAGATCCACAGGAATTGCAGTTTCCTGTCTGCTGTGGAACAAAAAAGGATTGCATAGGAGAATGGAGGCATTTCAAATGGTTGCTTAAAATAATTTAAAATTCCTTTGACTTGGCTGCTATCTGCCAGAACACAGCCTCATTACTGAGCTCATTTATCCTCATCTACAGTTTCTCAGCTATATCCTTTCCTCTGTAAGTCTCAGGCCATTGCTGGCTCTTCTGAATGTGCGCTGCATGCAGCTCCATGGCCCAATGACACCTATCAATTCTGTTGATCCCCACGGCCTGATTATATTCCCTAGAGCAGAAATTGTCATATTTACACAGTAGCTTTACAATAAGTCTGTTTCAAGCAATTGATCCTAGCATGCCAACTCCAGCAAGGTGAGACTGTGCTTTCAGGTGCATTGTGAAGGCTGTACATCCATTCTCTTTCAGAAATGTTATTTTCAGTGTACACACTATGTGCAGCAGCCAGTCAAGAGTGCAGAGCTAGAAGTATCTTCCCTTGTTGACAAACTCAAACTCCCTTAGTTCTGCCAGCAGTGGGCAGTTATACCTCCAGCTTAGTTTTTGCAAGGTGGCAAGAGATGTCCCTGTGCACTGGGTTAGTAGTGTATTCCAGATGTGTCCAAGAACTACTTTAATTGAATTGCCATGCTTCTCTTTCTACATATGGGGTTTGGCTGCCCTAGCATAACCTGCAGGCCTGCCTGGCAGAAGTGCTGGTTTGTGTCTAATGGCCTTATTCTGAAACTCCGATAAGCATCGTTTATGCCCTATAGAGTAGGCCTTGTACGAGGCAGCTCATGCAAACATTGTAATTCCCCTTGGGCTCAAAAGCCTTTGCTTAAGAACAAAGAGTGCTCTGGGGTATGTGTTAGACTCCTCAGGCACCTATAAAAGCCCTTTGCATTCTCTAAGACACACCAAGGGGAATATTATACAGTACCTCAAATGGATACAAGTCCCATCTGGACACTACCTCAATTTTAGCAAGGCCGCTAAGTGGAAGAGGCTGTGGGTAGTTCAGCATGTGTTCAATGCTAAAGTCTCCAAGCTTCAGTTTGAAGAGAAGAATTGAAGTAATTAGCTTGTATTGTTTGAGGAATGTTATGTTGCCTCTGCTCATCTTGATTTTCATGGAGTGGAGCACTACATGGTGCCTTTGGGAGGGCTCACTGAAAGAAAATAATCCTAAGTGCCTTGAGTTATACTTCTGTGCATGGCCTGAATTGCCTCAATTGCATCATCCAGCACAGCACAGAACCTATTACATTTGAGAGCCTTCTCTTAGGATCTACAACTGATCAGCCCTTTGCTTTATTTTGAAAGGGACTCAGCCCATTAGACTGTTTCAGAAAATGTCTCACATATGCCCATAGACCCAAAGCCCTCCCAAAATGCAGCACATTGATAACATTGTCTTCTAAAATGCAGGAGGCTCAGCTTCTTCCATTGTGGTATGGCATTTCAATCCATGCTTCCCAGCTGCTAGGCTGTTCTCCTGCCCATAGCAAAGCTTTATAGGGAAGAGTTAAGGCCTTTCAGAGCAGGGACACCTACCTCTTAGGGCACTTAGGGGAGGGAGGAGAGGTGCAGGACAGTTTGTACATTCTAACCAGTGAGTGTTTTGTGCAAAATGATATAGCTTAAGATGCTTAGAGGATATTTTTGTATCCCAAATTAGTTGTTTCTTGATGAGTTGGAATCTTGGTGTGAATTTGACAGTTGCCTAGAAATAGCACCCAAACTGTCAGGTTCCATTTCTCCCACCAATTTGGCTTTAGCCACGGATGTCTGAACGGCTGTTTCCACTTGACTCTGCAGATGCCAGCCAGGTCGTTTGCAGTTCTTACACAGTTCCCAGCAGAAGCTGCAGCTATGGGAGACTTGGCTTTCTGTCACCAGGTGCCGCTCAGTGGAAGCTGCAAGTACGTGCAGTCTTCGCCCAAGTTTCTGCGTGAAGCAGTGGGCAATTAGACATCACATTTGCTGTCCCACACGCTGGATTTCAGTCTGTGACAGGGACTGGGTGCCTCTGTGGGTCGAGAAGAACACACATCTTCAGGGATCTGACAGTGAGAAAAAGATGAGAAAGGGCTATGACCATTGGCAATGAGAGCTGAACACTGTTCACAAGGGGTTTGCAAAACTTAGGGAAGTCCTACATGGGCTGAAGTGTTCCAGACATTGCTTCCTGTGATCCAACAAACACCCAACCTCATCTTGCTTGTGCTGTTTTATTTAAACACAGTTGGCTTAATCCTATGGCAGCCAGGTTTATTTGACGTTTCTCCATTAGCTAAGCACTGCTGGATGCTCCAGCACAATATGCTTTATGGCAAGGAATGAAAGACACAGAAGCAGACTGTAGTGTTGGTGGCATACCCTGCGATTGCCCTTTTGCTCCTCTTGAACATTGTGTTCTTCCGTAGAAGAGTAATGACAGTAAACTGACAAAAGGTGAACATGACAAGCATGACTGAGGAAAGGGAAACCAGTCTGACCTCATCGTTATCCTTAAGCTCCACAAACTGCCCTTTGCTGCTTGATGGCCTAATGCTCACACATCTCCATTCTTTTTCTGGCTGTTCCTTGCCTCCCTGATTCATTCAAGGTGAAAAAGCTCCCATAAACAAAAGGCAAATATCTCAGCATTGCTTCCACATTGGGAAGTGCTATTTCAGTTGCTAGGGGATCTGATTAGAAAATAAAGCCAGCTATTAAAAACATTTCCATTTCAGGCCATCTTACCTTATGCTGTTCTCTTGTCTCAGCCAGTTTTTCAGAGAATCATGCCCTGGTTTAGTTCTTCTGTTAATATTTGGGAGGAAGTCTTTATTAAAACTTAAAACTGCTTGAGAATTAAACTGACATGCATGCATACATAACAAGGAGCCTAAATGGAGTAATTTTCTACACTGGCAGTATGTTACCTAATTCCTGGAGAGGAACAAAGAGAAATGCTACAAAATCTAGAGGCAATTGTACTGCAATTTGTGACTTTGGCTCAGGGTCAAAGTAGTGTAGTGTAGGTCAAAATGTTTGAGTAAAACACATTGAATACAATTTTAAAAATTCAGCAGTATTCTTGTGAAAATGGTCAGATATGCCTGGTGAGGAAATGAAATGGATCAGCAAATTGCCTAGGAATGAGACTTAAGAGCATGTGGAGAGGTCATTTGCTTATAGGCTCAGGCAATAGCTCTAGCAATGGAAACCAGGGAACCTGAATGGAGATAAAAAACTAATAACAAAATCATTGTCCCCAGATTAAGAATTTCAAAAATGCAGATTCATATAGATATATCTGAGGTCAAGTAGAATCCAGCATTGGTAAGAACTGAAATAAAAGTCCTTGGAGTGTATTAGGTAAAGAACAGTCTCTGCATGCAAGTAATTTTAGCAGCTTAATGGCTCTGCTCATTCTCTGATACCTGATGATAATGTCTCCAATTTCACACATTGATTTTTAAACAATGCATGTCAAAATAAAGTGAGTTCCATAGTCAAATCAGCAGAGTCACTGGCTTGCTGTTTTCTCCATACCTCATTGGAAACTCCACACTGCTGGATCAAGCTAATTCCCTTATGCTCAAGGTGACTGTTGGAGTGGGGCTTAGATCATCCTGCCCAGGCCGCACACATGAAGGATTAGCTGGTCATCAACCATAACAGTGGTAGTGTGGCACAGCCCTTCCTGTAGAAAATTTCTTGAAATCTCTAAGCACTACATTTCCCTTGTCAATAAAAGGCTTCTTACCAAATAATCTCCTTAGTGGACTACTGACAAACACGCTCTTAGTTTTTGCAGTAATTAGTATTAAATTAAGTGTAGTTTGTCAGAAAGAGGGTGAGAGGAAGAACAGAGGAGTTTAGTATTGGCAAAATGTGCAGTATGGATTACCCTGGAACCATCAGTCCATGTAAATTGTGGGACAAGGTCTGCAGGGTGGAGTTTCCTATCTGCCTCTCTTGCATCATGGCAAACAACACCGGGAGGGAAGGAGAATTTACGTATTATAACTAATGAACCATAGACTTCAGGTTTTACTATACTGGTGTAGGCCACACAGGCAGTATGTTTACTGAAGACAGGCTCTCAAGGCACACCTGCCGATCTGTTCCATGTGCCTCTTCTGCCTCTGCTAAGGGAAATGGTAAAATGTAAAGGGAAACATTCTTTATGCAGTCTAAGACAGATACAGCTATTGAAATCTGGCACCTGTATGTATATGTGGTCAAATGCTACAGAAGAAAGTTATTTCATTGCACTGAATTTCATATGACCTTGGAAAACAATATCTACGCTAGCAGAGTGTAACACAAATCAGTGCCAGGAGCATCTATGATGGAACAGGCCTAATAAGAGCCTACTATTTTGGGAATTTTGCATTAAAATGTGACCATCCCACATTTAGAAAACACCATATGAGAAGAAATTAAAGGATGGTGTACTAGGATAGGAAAAGGACCTGCACGTGCTGTAATTTGACTGATCCAATGTGTCAGCCCAAGGAAGAAAAGGGAGCTCCAAGAACAGCATCTCAGGCATCTCCATCCTCCTAGTCAGACTCAGCTTCTGGGCTCCTCAAAGTCTGGATAGCAGCAGCCTAAATATTTTTCCAAATTTTTTGAGGTACTTGGAAAAGAGTGTTGTTGTCTTGGCTGAGAAGTACCAGCAGGCCTATCTTTTTACCCATGGATCACATGGAGACCAGTCACCAAAGCCATTGAGGGCCATGAACTGTTTTCTCTGGTCTCTGCTATGATGCTGACAAGGGCTACAACTGGCAGAGCTCCCTCTGCTTGCTGAGCTGTTGCGTAGGCATTTGCAGTTGTAGCTATTTCTGACTGCAGAACGCTCCTTTCTCTTCTGAGCTACCAGGAATTTGCCCTGCTGAGCTGGTGATGTGGATGGGGATGACATTGCCCATACACATGTGTTTTGGTACTATTAACCAGGCTTCTTTTTGGTTTGCTCCACAGATATTATGTGGGAAAGAGATCCCCCGCTGGGTGAACCGCCTGGCTTACTTCAGCTCATGCATCCCCTTCCTCCAGAGCTGCCTCCCGAAGGAATGGCTGACCCCAGCAGCCCTGCAGAGCCACATCAGCCTCGGCCTTCACAAGGAGGAGCAAGGGGACACAACGGACGAGGAGTCCCCCTCCACCTCCACAGCCCCCTCAGCCTCAGGCACATCGCGAACCTGTAGACATACCCGGGTCTAAACTGTGCCCAGTTTGCTCCCAGATAACATCCCCACTCTCTTGTTCCATTTCTTTCTCACACCTTTCCGCACACATTGGTTTCTCTCTTCTTCAATGGACAACACAAGGGGAGGGAAGACTCTTTCTACTTCAGTCCCTTTTCCAAGGGCCGCTACTACAGTTGCTCAGCAAAATGACTGTGAACCCCAACACGGAACTAAGGAGTGTGGTAACTAAACTGGATTCTCCTTCCAGGGACCTCATGACCCTCAGTCCATGGAGAACTGCTGATTCTCTCAGGCATGAGAGCATGTGTATGGGCTGAGGGCACATACTGTGATGTTCCTTCTCTGGAACTGTTTTATCTTTTTATCTCTTCCTCCACCCATGTAAGCTCAACAATCTCTTTTCTATTTTGGATGGGTTTCCCCTTCCCCTGTGACAAATCTCCTGGCCACACCCAGTGAAGGAACCAGAGCCAGAACTCAACCTTATCATCTCTTAGACCAGCAAAAAAAATCCACTCAGCCCCATCCCTTTTGTAATTATCAGATTTCTAACTCATGTGAAGGACAAACGAAAGGTGCTCCTGTTCTACACCAACAGTTTTCAGTACTCAAATTTAAGAGCTTAGATAACTGTCCTGCTCTTGAAAATAATAACAAAGAACCGAAAAAATGAATGTGTTACTGTGGCTTTTCTTTGGGGTCAAAAAGAGGATTGGGCTGTGGTGGTTAGAGGCAGCTACTAAGTAGATGCAGAGATGACTGTTGACCATATTGGTGCTTTTTGGCACAGACCCCTCTCATTTCTCCTAATTCTAGGCAGTGTTCCTGGTTTCCTTTTTTTCTCCAGATTCCCTGGAGTATCTCTCTCCTAGCTGACATTTTCTGGCTGTATTTGGAAGGAATGCCTCCCCTGAGCACAAGGAAGAGGGGAGTGAATCTGTTGGGAAGGTCAATATTTCCTTCAGATTTTCCTCCTGCACACACAGACCTAAAACATGGCTCCAGAGCCATCCTTCCTGGCCTATATTTGAGCCAACTCAAGAAGGTAAAAAATAAGTGGTGAACCCAAAGAATGTCAACCTGTTCCCTTCTCCTCCCTTTTTGGAGGTGGAGGGGGAAACTTAGGGCCACATCTGGAAAGCACAGATGACCCTTCCAATGCATGGGCCACCATGGTGCCTTCCATTGTGTGCACTATTTCAATGGCATGAAAAATGGGCACAGCTGGCTCACTGGCCTCTCCAGGCTGGCTCCTGATAAGAATCTGGTCCTTGGATGTATTTCTGCTAATTCTGACAGCTGATGAGAAAACAAAGGCGGAGGAAAGGACAAATACACTAACTCTTCCACTCAATTACCTCACTAGGAATTCTAGTCAGAAGATGTAGGAAAGAATCAAAGGGGAAATCCAGGCCCCCTCTCTCCCTTCCAACTCCTCTTGGCTACACAAAGGATGATGATAAAAAGAACAGACACCGTGTTGAGAGGGGTTTGTCATTTTAGAAATGCTGTTCTCAACAGCTACTACCAAGTCAGGACTTCCACCCACCACCCAGAAAAACTACAAGCCCTTAAGTTGGGTGGCTGTTTCCTTTTTTCGGTCACAATAGCATGCTAAGTCCAAGCAGCTGTTTCTTTAGCTCAGGTATACAGAAGTGTGTGCTTTCAGGGCTGAAGGTCTTGGCTATGATGCACATCATGTCTGCACAGACAGCGCTTAATGGTTTGTTACATGTGCATGCCCTTAGTGAAGCAGGAGGCTCTGGAGAGATCTATTGGATGGAAATGTAACTCACAGGATGGCCTCACTCCACAGCCTCCTGAAGTGATGCATGTTTGGGCAACAAAACCTTTGCAATGCGCCTCTCATTTTCATCCTCTGTACAAATTGCTGCAAGTTCTGTACTGAACTAAAGTCATGTTCCTTATTAACCTTGGCTGCTCACAGCCAATGCTGCATTGTGAGCAAGTCTGCAGCTTCTAGTAACCAGTTCAACACCAATCTCGATTACTCTGCCTTGTCCGGGGATGTTTAATAAGATTTCCACCCTGATCTCCATGCTGCTGCCCAGAAACCATGTTACACAATGTACTGTTTCACTCTCTATTCCTCTGCAGTCGTGGTCACTGCAGCCTAAACCAGCAGTGCAAGCTTCATTTGTCTGAAGTTCCCAGGGTTTCTGCCAATAGCCAGCAGCACATTATGTGCAGTGAATTTTAAAGGTCGTTCTCTGGAGGAAAGTGAGAAGAGACTTTCACAGAGCTTTTGTCTAGGCCAGGGAAACTGCAGTCAGAAACACCTAGTTCTTGTTGTGATAAAAGCCAGCCAGCCATCACCCTTGTGTTTCTGCTCTGTGCCTGAGCTCCAGATAAAGCACCATGTATACATCTAGAAGACAGCTAGGGCTCCAGAGGCATGTTTCACACAGAAAACCCTCTCACAGTATTTCAGAAAGGAAAAAATGCCTAACTGGCTATATGGTAACCTGGACTAGAAAACTGCATTCAGCCTCCTTGGGGGCATGAATATGTGCTTGAAGTATTAGGAAAACACTTGGGGTGAGCTGTGAATGTCATAAAAAACCCCAGATGTTTGTTTACCTACTTTTATGTTTGTCTGTCTGTTCATGACAGTAGGGGTCACATCAAGGAGACATCAAACCTCTGCTGCAAATCAAAACCACAACGTATTCCAGCCTTCAAAAGTGTTTCTCCCCACCCCTCTCTGTTCCAGGTGACTGACCAACCAACAATGACAAGAACAAAGGGACACTGTGGAAATAAAATATATATTGATGATAGCTTTATCTCTGTAATTTAACAGCATTTTAGATCATTAAACATGAAGACATTTTGAAATTCTAATTTACTGTTCGTCTTTAGCACGGCATATTTGTTTTAACCACTTTTATTATCCCTCCAATTGTTACAAAAATTATTGTTATTATATAATTATATCATATTTGTATTTAGTTACATATCTGCTTTCTCTTGCTGTTTTAGAAAATAACACCATGGGAGAATTTTAGATACTAACAGTTATCAATGAAAACAAAAGAACATGTTATGAATCTTACCAAGAGCGACCCCAAAGCACTGGCACAAACTCTTAACTTTTCTTCTTAGTGTCAGGACTTTTTGTACCCTTTTAAAAGCTGGGATGAGAGGGCACCAATTCTGCACATGGGTATCCGTAGCTGTGGGTTATGTCTCTAGCAGAGACCTATTAATATTCAGGTGAGACAGACTGAAGGTGAGGTTAGCCTAATGCTGGAATATTAGAGGTACAATACAAACTGTTTCTAGGGAAAGTAAGAGAGGAGAGAATAAATAAGAACCTCTTTTCTCAGCATGTCTTTATTTATAGTAGCAACTCTCTTAATTTCAGGAGATAATTCTTACTAATTTCTTTTTGGTTAGTTGGCTTCCTCTTCCTGAGTCGGTGATTTGAGTCTTATATCGTTCAAAGTCTTATGAAGTTTCAGAAGGGACAGTTGTACTCTCAGAGGCCCTGGGTGAGCCTGTTACCCAGCACTTAAGCATTCCTCTGTGATGAGTTCATCCCAGGCTCAGCCCAGCATGGGAATGGACACAGACCTGTTTTCTTGCTCTCATTGATCCCAACTGAGAGTTTGCACCTCTGGAATTCAGACCCATGTTGCCTTCATGTTACTGTGGTACTCTAGAAGTAGTTGTTTCGTGCTACATATTTTTTTTTATTCTTCAGTTCTGTTTATTTGTCTTTAGGCTGGTAAGGCTCTCAGAACAAGTTAGTGGACACTGGATTGCAATAATATTAGCTCAACTTCTTATTATATGTATTTGATTTTCTTTTCATTTTAGTTTGTATATATGTGCTGGCTTATTGAAATGTTTAGAAAACTTAAGTAACTGCACCAATTCCTTGAAGTGATTAATGGAGAAGATCAAAGGAAGTGATCATCAGTGTTTAATTTTCAGATGTTTTTAAACTACTCTTTGAGTTGAGACAGCAGGTGCCCTGTTCTGCTTTGTCCCTGCTGTGCTTTCCATCAGACAATGACTTGGACTGTGAAAAGGCTGTGTAGTGACTCAGGAAGTAATTAAAAGAGGAGCTGTCATTCTCCTGTCTCTACACTGCCATTGCCACAGGCTACCAGAACATGGCAGAACCTCTGGCTAAAGTAATGGATGAGAACTTTGCAGCCTACACCTGGAGAACATGTGCTCTTGTCTCTGACAGGTCAGCACTCCACCCCTCTGCATATGGCTGTAGCTGAGAGGCATTTGAGTGGATGGCATGGCACATTTAATAACTAGCAAGAATGAATAAGTATTGGCTCTAAATCTCAGAGTCAGACTGTCCATTAGTGGTGTTGTATCCAACTGTGTTTTGAAAAGGCTATAAAAGTTTTTTGGGTTCATTGTGACTGGGATAAGGGATAACAATGCAAAGAAACAGACAGTATAATCATGGCAATCTTCTTTCCTTAGGAAACCAGGCTGCAAAATGAAAGATATGACTAGTGACTAGGCCTTCACAACTGCTTTAATCAATGAACTTGGATGGAAAGCTCAAAATAACAGAGAAGGTAGCCCTCAGCAAAGATGTGTAAAGCCTACAAAAGCTAGTTGGAACTGTATGTGCACCTTAACACTGTTGAGCTTGCTTGTGTCCTCTCAGCTGGCTAAATTCTGGTCATCCACTGGGTGAATACTAACGCAGCCTCCAGCTCTCACCGGAAACAGCAGAGGCTGCCTATGTTTCTCTCCAGTGCTGCCCTCCATGCTTACTAATCCTGAATGGCAATGTTTCCTGCTATTTCAGCCCTGCTCTCCCTCCCACCTTGCCAAGGTAACCCAGATACAAACTGCAGAATTCTCACCATGCTATTTGCTTTCCTGAGTGTCCCTGGCCTCAGTTCTGCAGGCTGAATTTTCCAGTGCGTGGTGGGAGGTGAAATCCCTAGCTCTGCTGAGATTCAGTGAACTAGTTGGTAATTTGAACTAGTCATCATTTGATCATGATTTTGA